CCTTCCCTCCCTCCCTCCCTCCTCCCTCTTCGCAAGTTCGACTCCGTCCTGTCGTCGCTCTTTGGCATGCGGTTAGCGTTGCGTATCTTGCGGCCGCACTCGCTCACTCTCACTGTCTCACTCTGTCTCACTGTCTCACTGTCTCACTGTCTCACTGTCTCACTGTCTCACTGTCTCTCTCTCTCTCTCATCTCTCTCATCTCTCTCATCTCTTTCTCATCTCTCTCATCTCTCTCTCCTCTCTCTCTCTCTCTCTCTCCTCTCTGTCTCTCATCTTTCCGTCTCTCTTCTCTTTCTTCTCTCGCAGGAGGATCCGGGCAAAGAGCCACATATAAAGGACTCTTCACCCCTGCCTCCAAAAAGAGCGCCGTGTTTTTTCCTACCTCGCTGCCCTCCACTTTCCCATTCTGGAGCGCTAGCTTTCGCACCCCCCCTTGGCCTCAAGTTCTATTTTTAAATCTAATTGTTTCTACTAGCTTCTTGTTACTACTAGGAAGGCACTTGTTACTACTAGCGTGGCACTTGTTACTAGTTAGTCAAATTCATCGCGCAATCTCGTGAGCACGTCGCAGATGGGACACCAGGACGTTGAGGGGTGGGATGCCCATCTGAAAAGGGCACCGCATGGTGAAGTCAAGCAGCGTAGGGCCGCAGACCCAGAAAACGAGCAACCATCAACCAGCTCAGGGGACCTGATTGAAATCTCATCAATCAACGAAAGAACTTGATCATTAGACCTAATCACTGTCCGTCCAAAACGACACTCTGTCAAGCCTGCTGCGCTTCGTGTGCCCAGCGTGTCCAGCTGAGTGACCAAGTGTTATCACAGTCCGTCGTTTCCATTCCTTTCCATTCTGCAATATGGGTTCAACCGTCAGTTCTGGGTTCAAAATGATCTTCTGCCGTTTGAGGATCTTTACCAGTGGAGGACCCCTATCAAATACGAAGCCATCTTCTTGCTGTGGTCACTGCAATTTCAGATCATAGCAGGTGCACCACTGGCGCAGCTTTCTGAAAAACCTCAGCAACGCATGCGAAGGTTTGGTCTTTGGCCAGGATGTACAGCCTTTCTAGAGGAGCAAGGACAAAATTCTTGTGCAGTGGACCAACATCCATCGAAAAGGGGACTGGTGCAAATGAAGGCAATTGCGAGTGCAGAGTGGCACGTTTTTTCGGAAATGCTGCTGTAAGGGGTCGCCAGAAAGGACTCCGTTTTGAGACCCTGTGAGGTTCAAAGCGCGTGCAGCTTTAGGAGAACACTTTTTTGCAATCTTTCGTGGGTGACGATGTACCTCTCGTAAAGGATCGGACATACTAACACACGAATCTTGTGATGAGCGCGCCAAGAGTGCTTCCAAAAGCACGTCGTTCCAAACTCTGGAAGTCGATGTGACAAACTGTTCGGTCCTAGTAGCGATGCCCTTTGCTACTAGTAGCTTCTTGTTCCTAGTAGTAAGGCCAGGAGCCCCTAGTAGCGTCCTTGCTCCTAGCAGCGATGCCCTTTGCTACTAGTAGCTTCTTGTTCCTAGTAGTAAGGCCAGGAGCCCCTAGTAGCGTCCTTGCTCCTAGTAGCGATGCCCTTTGCTACTAGTAGCTTCTTGTTCCTAGTAGTAAGGCCAGGAGCCCCTAGTAGCGTCCTTGCTCCTAGTAGCGATGCCCTTTGCTACTAGTAGCTTCTTGTTCCTAGTAGTAGGGCCAGGAGCCCCTAGTAGCGTCCTTGCTCCTAGTAGCGATGCCCTTTGCTACTAGTAGCTTCTTGTTCCTAGTAGTAAGGCCAGGAGCCCTAGTAGCGTCCTTGCTCCTAGTAGCGATGCTCTTTGCTACTAGTAGTTTCTTGTTCCTAGTAGTATGGCCAGGAGCCCCTAGTAGCTTCTTGCTCCTAGTAGCGATGCCCTTTGCTACTATCTTGTTCCTAGTAGTAAGGCCAGAGGAGCCCCTAGTAGCGTCCTTGCTCCTAGTAGCGATGCCAGGAGCCCCTAGGGGTGAATCCGTGGCGATATCACGTTCTTCATATGTGCCGTGCAGAAGAAGGGTGCCTTTGTGTTCAAGGTGGTGTGCTTGGACCTCTGAACATGCGGCTTTCATTACTGAACATTCTCGGGTTTGGCTCGTGTCAATTTGAAGTCGCTTTACTTGTGCCACTACCTGTCTCATTCTTTTGGAAAAATCTAAGAATAAAGCTGAGTTAGACACCAACATGTAAAACTGAATCTTTCAAGTGAAGGTGCATCATAGGCTCTCAGCTTCTTGAAAGACATTTGCAAATAGAGCTTTGGGCAAGCCAGCCCCAAGCCTAGTCCAACAGCTTTGACATGTTGAACCACACAAAGGATTCAATCTTTTGAAAACCTTTTCAACTGTATGGAGCAAGATGCCTTCCATGTGGGCGAACATTTTGCAGACAAGGACATTGCAGTGGGTTGCTGGATTTTTCTATTGCCGGGTGCAATCTTGCTGAATCCGACAAACCGCCAGAGTACCAGTCATGCCAAAATAGGAATGGGCGTTCCTACCCTTGCTAACAAAGGCAACTATATGTTTCTCAATTTTTTGTTAAACTTTGCTCATTTCACCCATGTCGCCAACATGCACAGGAGACTTCCAGAGCACCTTCGCATTACCTACGGTTGCTCAAGAGTGCTTTGCTTATTGAGCTACTATCTGGTTCTCTTTCGTGTTCGACGCCGTTACTCCGTGTTTTGAAACAACCACGGTTTACAAGAACGCTACTATCAACTCGAGGAGAAACGAAGGTAAAGGGCCTTTTTCTTAAGACCCCCTCTCAAATGAGGGCATCCTTAAACCCTTCGTTTTGTACCTTTTTTGAACGTATTTTCCCTTCACATGTTGGAAGTGCGAAGGGACAAAGCTGGGTTTTCTCTCAGGTCACAACCCACACCTAGGATCGCGGTCAAAGCCCAAAAGCCGCAGCCTTGGGCGTTTGGCTTTCATCCTTTAGCTTCATGTTTTCGGTTCTTCCAATTGAAATTTGATTCTCCTCAATTTCGACTAGGTTTGCATTTAGAGAGCTTTCACATTCACTCGGAAAAACATGCGATTGTTTCAGGTGAGAAGCTCCAACACATTGGATTTGATAGCCGAGTGGCTGCTGCAGTAGGGCTTTCAGAGCTTGCTGGCTTCCCAGCATTTTCATAGCCAGTAGGTTGGAGGCCATCGCTACTAGAATAAAAGGAAAAGGAAAAGGAAGAACGGTCTAACATAGTTTGCTATTACTTGCATGAATGAGGCTGCAACAGAACAATGACATGACCTCAGGCAGAAGCTCATCCAGCCCTGATTCGAACGGGTGGTTTGTTTTGTTTGTGAAAGAACGGGCCATTGATTTTGAGCCAAGGTCCTCATTGCTCGAGGAGGATGGACACATGATCAGTTGTGCGTGTATGTGTGTGTGTGTGTTTGCGCAACTTGCCCTGTTTGTTCTCCTACTCGAAGACGAGGTTCTCTCGAGAAGCTGCAGCGAGACACGTTCAGCGCTCAAGCGGACTCAATAGCCTCCAACCTAATAGCGGTGCCCTCCAACCTAAGAGCAATAGCCTCCAACCTAATAGCGGTGCCCTCCAACCTAAGAGCGATGGCCTCCAACCTAAGAGCAATAGCCTCCAACCTAATAGCGGTGCCCTCCAACCTAAGAGCAATAGCCTCCAACCTAATAGCGGTGGCCTCCAACCTAAGAGCGATGGCCTCCGACCTAAGAGCAATAGCCTCCAACCTAATAGCGGTGCCCTCCAACCTAAGAGCGATTGCCTCCAACCTAAGAGCGATGGCCTGCAACCTAATAGCGGTGGCCTCCAACCTAAGAGCGATGGCCTCCGACCTAAGAGCAATAGCCTCCAACCTAATAGCGGTGCCCTCCAACCTAAGAGCGATTGTCTGCAACCCAATAGCGGTGCCCTCCAACCTAAGAGCGATGGCC